AGGGGAAACCTCATGCACTATTGGTGGGAATGCAGATTGGTGCAGCCACTGTGCAAAATAATATGGAGGTTCATAAAAAAATTAAAAATGTAACTGCGTTATGAGCCAGCAATTTTACTTCTGGATATATATCTGAAGAAGCCCAAAACACTTATTCGAAAGAATATATGCATCCCTATATTCATTGCAGTGTTATTTGCAATACATAAGCGATGGAAGCAACTCAAGTGCCCATCAGTAGATGAGTGGATAAAAGAATGGGGGTACATATATACAATGCAATATTACTTGGCCTTAAGGAAAGAATGAAATCTTACTTTTTGTGACAGCATGGATGCACCTAGAGGGTATTATGCTAAGTGAAATAATTCAGGCAGAGAAAGATAAATGCCATATGATTTCATTTATATATGGAATCTAAAGAGTAAAATAAACGAACACACAAAATAGGAACAGATTCATAGATACAGAGAACAGACTGATTGCCAAATGGGAGAAAGGTTATGGAGCTGGGTGAAAAAGGTGAAGGAATTAAGTACAAATTGTTAGTCACAAAATAGTCATGAGGATGTAATGTACAGCATAGGGAATGTAGTAAATAATGTTATAACTATATCCAGTGCCAGGTGGGTATTTGAAATATCAGGGAGGTGGGACCACTTTGTAAAGTATATGATCGTCTAACTACTATGGTGTACACCTGAAATTAATATTGAATATAAACTGTAATTGAAAAATAAGTAGTAATAATCTTGAACCCCTAGAGCATAATATTATGGATAATATCAATTCTAAACCTGTAATTGTCCCCTCATATTTCAATTTTATTTTTATGAAATTCAACTTGTTAATATCTAACCCGGGGGTCCTGAAACTTTTTAAACAGGGGGCCAGTTCACTGTCCCTCAGACCGTTGGAGGGCCGGACTATAGTTTAAAAAAAAACTATGAACAAATTCCTATGCACACTGCACATATCTTATTTTGAAGTAAAAAAACAAAACGGGAACAAATACAATATTTGTATTTGCATGTGGCCTGCGGGCCGTAGTTTGAGGACCCCTGATCTAGCCTTTTGAGTAATAGTGTCCCATTTGGATCCACTTCACTGGAGAATTAATTTATAAGTCAAGTATACAGAAAGTTCTTTTGATTTTTTTAAATCAAAGCAATTTAATTGAGGGAATTGATTACATGGCTGTTAGGCTGGAAAAGCATAAAGAAGGATGGTTTTTGGAGAAGCAAATAGGAAGAATGGGCAGTGCCTTAGGATCAGAAGCTTGTGTTACCTCTGTGCCGGAGTCCACAAGCTGCATCGGCTCCTACACTGTTAGAGACAATATCTTGGTCAATTCTGGACCTGCCAGAGAGGTCCTGCTTTGATCAGGATGGTACCATGGACAACATGTTGTTAATCCTTGTGTCCTATCCCCATATTGTTTCAGCAGCTACTGCAGTCAGCCAGAGTTCTGCTTTGACTTGGTCTGCTTTCTAATCTCCCACCAGAATAAAAGCAGAACCTACCTGAAAGCCAACTTGCAAAAGAAAGTAGAAAATAAGAGTTTGTTGCCTCTAGTCTCCTACAAAACTTAGCAGAACACAGGACAGGATTGAGGCCTCTGACAGCTCAGTTAATACTAAGTTAAATTTATGTATATATTAGCCATATACAGTATTCTATAGTTGTAAAATTGTTTTATATTTGTAATTTAAAGAACTTTGGAAACATTATGAAAGCACTTTTTAATCATCAGAATCCTATATAATAAAGAGCTAATATGCAAATGGTCATCACACTGTAACGACTCACACACTCAACACTGGGGAGAGAGGAATGGGGACCAGCCAGGCACAAATGAGCTGACGAAAGAGGAATGGGAACCAACCAGATTTTGGCTCAGGAGAGGGACAAGCCGCATGTCCTGCAGTCCCTGGCGCTAGCGGCTGGGGCTGCGGCCTGGGAGAGGGACAATCCGCCCACCCCGCAGTCCCAGGCACCTGTGGCTGTGGCCCAGGCAAAGCCACCCACCCACGGTCCCCTGTGGCTGAAGCTGACCCGGGTCCTGGTGCCTGCGAACGGCTGGAGGAGGGAATCCTGGGTCCCGGGTGTGGGGTGAGGCAGAGGTGGTTAGGGGCGATCAGGCCAGAAGGGTAGCAGTTAGGGGTGATCAGGCTGGTAGGGGAGCAGTTAGAGGTGATCAAGCAGGAAGATGGGGTTAGGGGCGAGCAGGCAAGTGGTTATGAGCCAGCGGTCCCAGATTGTGAGAAGCAGTTCGACATCCCCTGAGGGGTCCCGTTTTGGAGAGGGTGCAGGCCGGGATGAGGGGCCTTCCTCTCCCTCCCTCCCCCGCACAAATTTTGTGCACTGGGCCTCTAGTGATTAAATAATTTGGTAAATGAGGTAGCAATGGCAGCATGACCAAGTTTACCTGGACAGAGTCATATTGCAGAGAGTATGCATTAAGTAAAAGATTTTTTCCCCTCATAATAAGCAGTGGTTGGGAATATTAGAATTAATGTAATACTTAAAATATTGAAATGTTATTTCGATTGAGAGATGGAAGTTGGAATATCACACGATTTGTTCTTCCACCAACTTCCTCATACATACACCTTTATTATCTCTGTTCCAAGATATCCAGGGGATTAAAATCATTGTACTAATGTGGACATACAAAATAGTGAATATTAATTTGATACCTTATTTGCAGTTGCAAGTATAATTTATCCTTCTTAAAGGAAATATAATCTCATAAACTTCAACTTATCTAAATTTAAAAATCATAGTAACATTTCTAACATTTCCATTAAAGTTTCAACAGACATGCCAATCTATTTACATTTAGCTATACTTATCCATGAAAGATGATCTTACAGTTGTTTGCTTAGCTTTGGAAACCCATGTGGCTGCTTTTATATGTATTAGATATCTGCATATGTAAATGTTTATATTTGATATATTAGACATTTATGTACATTCACAGTTAAATGTGATGTGTCAAGTAGCAAATTCTCTGAGAACGAAGTTTTTATTAACAAATTAGAGGCCCAGTGCACAAAATTCGTGCACTCGGTGAGGGTCCCTCAGTCCTGCCTGTGCCCTCTTGTAGTCTGGGAGCCCTCGGGGGGTGTCCAGCTGACAGCTTAGGCCCGCTCCCCATAGGGAGCGGGCGTAAGCCAGCAATTGGACATCCTTAGTACTGCTGTGTAGGTGGGAGATGCTCCCACCACCACTGCTGCGCTCGCCAACCGTGAGCTCAGCTTCTGGCTGAGCAGCGCTCCCCCTGTGGGAGTGCACTGACCACCAGGGGGCAGCTCCTGCATTGAGCGTCTGCCCCTTGGTGGTCAGTGCGCGTCATAGTGACCAGTCATTCTGCTGTCAGGCCAAAACTGGCTCTCCGACATCTCCCCAAGGAGTCCCAGATTGTGAGAGAGTGAAGGCCAGGCCAAGGGACCCCACCGGTGCACGATCGGGGCTGGGGAGGGACATGGGAGGGCTCCAGGGTGTGTCTGGCCCATTTCACTTAGCCCTGATCAGCCAAAACCCAGCAGCAAGCTAACCTACTGGTTGGAGTGTCTGCCCCCTGGTGGTCAGTACACATCATAGCGAGCAATTGACTGGTCTTAGCATATCATTAGCATATTATGCTTTGATTGTTTAATGGCCAAGTGGATGACTGGACACTTTGCATATTAGGCTTTTATGGAGTACCACAATGGAGGGTCAGTTCCCGTGCATAAACAGTGTGCTTGCTAGACAATTCAGCTTCAAGACAAACCCTCTATAGTGCTCAACTCCAAATCATATTTCTGTTCTTAGTTTCTTTCTATATACAAAAATCTGGAAATTTTTTGTGTCTGGACATGAAAAAATATGGGGATGTAACCAGTCTTTTTTTTTTTTTAATCTGTATTGTTGAATGTATTACATATGTCTCCCTCCTCCCCCAGTTTTAGCCTGCCGCTGCCCCAGGCCTTCACCACCCTATTGTCTGTGTCCATGGGTTATGCATATATGCATACAAGTTCTTTGGTTGACCACAATGTAACCAGTCTTTGTATCTGTAACCATTATCAGTAGATAAGGAGGAATAGCTTGTCTAAGGAAAGAGCCATTCTTCAAGATGTCCATGTTTCAGGCCCTTCATTAAGTAGTAGTAGAGACACCAGCTAAACTACAGCACTCTAGGGCAGTGATGGCGAACCTTTTGAGCTCAGCATGTCAGCATTTTGAAAAACCCTAACTTAACTCTGGTGCGATGTCACATATAGAATTTTTTTGATATTTGCGACCATAGTAAATCAAAGACTTATATTTTTGATATTTATTTTATATATTTAAATGCCATTTAACAAAGAAAAATCAACCAAAAAAATGAGTTCACATGTCACCTCTGACACGCGTGTCATAGGTTCGCCATCACTGCTCTAGGATAAGGGCAGGGCTTAGATGAACTGAGACACAGCAGCCTGTCTCAGTCTAGAGCAGTGGTTCTCAACCTTCTGGCCCTTTAAATACAGTTCCTCGTGTTATGCCCAACCATAAAATTATTTTCGTTGCTACTTCATAACTGTAATGTTGCTACTGTTATGAATCGTAATGTAAATATCTGATATGCAGGATGGTCTTAGGCGACCCCTGTGAAAGGGTAGTTCAACCGCCAAAGGGGTCGCGACCCACAGGTTGAGAACCACTGGTCTAGAGGGAGTGCTTTTATAGGGCATAGCAGAGAAGGAATTCCTCTCATGCAAAATTATTTCTCTCACATTTACTCCCAAATAAGGAAGTGTCTATGGAACACATCTCTATTGATTAATGAGAGAACTTAATTTGCATCCATTCAGGTAGAACTGGAATGTATTCCAGTCTTTCCTTCTTATCCTCTGCTTTCTTTTCCCTGCTAGAAATATCTTATCTCTTAAGAGATTGTAATGTAATCATGTGGTGTGTTATTTTATAATTCTCTTCAGTATTTTATTGTGCATATTTATGTATTTCAGTGGGAGAACTGAAGTCCAGTCAGTTCAGTATGGCAAAGAAAAAGCAAATAAGGACAGGGTATTTGCAAGGTAAGCCTCCTGTTTCAGTATCTTCTTTTTAAAAAATATATATATATATTAAAATTACTAAAAACTCTTTTTTCAAATATGATTACAGAATTATCACCTGACCCTTCCTTTAACTAAACAACAAATTATGTTGGAATAGTGAAATAGTTTGTCCAGTTTATTCATTCATATTTTTTGCATGAGCTAAATTAACCCCGTGCCAAGCATTATAGCTCTGACTATGCTGAATCAAGTATTATATTATTAATATAACATTGTTTTGCATGGTTCAATACACATTTTTAAAACATTTTAGAGCCCTGGCTGGGTGGCTCGGTTGGAGCATCATCCCGTAGCTCCAAAGGTTTTGGGTTTGCTTCCCAGTCAGAGCCTATACTCAGGTTGCAAGTTCGATCCCTGATCAGGATGCATAAGAGAGGCAACCCAATCGATGTTTCTCTCTCTCTCTCTCTCTCTCTCTCTCTCTCTCTCCATTTCTCTCTCTCTAAAGTCAATAAAAATATATCCTCAGGTGTGGATTTAAAAAGGTATAATCACTTGGAATCAAAGGAAGTGAGCCCAGATGAGCTCTACCAACAATGGTATCCTAGGAACCAAGTAGCAAAGCCAGGTTGGCTACCTCCCCTTTGATTTTAATCTTCTAGGTCCCCACTCATCCTCTGCCAGGAGCTGGGGCAGGAAAGCCGATTTGGCGCTGCTGGCCCAGCCCTGAAATAGAGCCCACTTCTCGCCACCCCTCTGCAGGCTCACCACCTTGCCCCCTGCCAAGGCAGTTTTCCTTTCATTTGTGTGTGTTTTCTCCTACTCCTGCTGCCTTTGTGGATCAGGATCAGGTCCCAGCCACAGACAAAAGGACACCATGTACAGTGGCATACCTTGAACAGTTGCTAATTTTCACTGTTGGGAAAGTGATTTGATTTAGAATTAAATGGTTTACATTGAAAAAAAACACACGTTTTGAGAAACAACATGACATGTATTATCCAGTCATTTCCATATATTTTTTAATCATGTTAAGAAATAAGTTGCTTTTTATTTGGATGGCATTTAATTGTCTGCACTTTTTTAGGATCTGTTAATAGCCAATTTACTTTTAACAAGTGAAGTGAGGTGATTAAATTTATGTTTCAGAAAATGTTTTTATGAGCAAGGATAGAGAACAGATGAGAAATAGAGACTGAGTACCCAGAGACCAGGTCTCTCTCCCGCCCCCGCAATTTGGCATTTGGACATTCTAGTGATAGTTAGAATGGGGAGACAATAAAACAATCCCCAGAGGAAAGAAAAAGAGCAATCACCAAGAAAGGAAATAAGTGAAACAGAGGCATGCAGTTAACTTTGACTCTGGACTTGCGCACACATGGGAGTCTGTTTCCCAGGTTATTGCAGTAATCCAAGTGAAAATAATGAAGTCCTGAACTAAAATATTGGCAATGAGTGGAGGATCAAATTTGGGGCACATCTTTTAAGTAGAAATAGTAGAAATAAATGACCAATTGGATAGAGATGTTTTAGCTACAGGCGTATCTGGAAAGAAAGTCAGATTTAAATGATACACAACAGATGAGATGTAGAAGGGAGAACAAATTTGTAATGGAAAAAGGTGTTAAATTGGCACGGGTCTAGTTTGATATGCCTGAGCAATGCTCTTTTTTTTTTTCTTCTGAGCAACACTCTTAACAGGATCATCCAATAAATGATTAAATATTCACTGGCACTGGAAAAAAGATGGTGACTGGCAAGAAGGCAGGGAGGGAGAATGTGTGAGAGAGTGAGGGAGCGATAGAGGAGTGTGGTGTGTGCGTGTGCGTGTGTGTGTGTGTGTGTGTGTAAGAGAGAGAGACAGAGAGTTAGGGATAGTTAGATACTGCGGGTCTTCCAGGGGGCTGCCAGACTGGGCAGTCTTGGATTGCATAACCCTGCTGCCACCACGGATACTCCGGGGCGGGCACAGAGAGCATGCCATCTTGAAGAACAGAACTATTTGTGACTTGGATTCCAGCCTCACCACCACCCAATCTGGTCTCAGACGCAATCCAGGACCTTACAACCACTCAGGACAAAGACCTGCCATCACAGATGCAGACCCATGGACACCAAGAGTCGGGACATCCCAGCTGCAGATTTCTGTGAGTCACAGAGCCCATCTCCCTCCCCGACGGCCCGCTGCGGTGGCATAGGACCTGCCAGACCCACTCTGTGAGAGCAGGCCTCCTGCCAACACAGGGCGGCTGTGCAAATTAACTTTGACTCTGGACTTGCGCACACACGGGATTCTGTTTCCCATGGCGCAGGAGTGGGCCTCCCTCCAACACAGGGCGGCTCCGCTACCTGATTTCAACTCTGGGCCCTCATACAGGAGTCTGGTTCCCACGTGTAGGAGTGGGTCTCTCCCTGACACAGAGTGGCTGTGCAACCCGGCTCTCCAAGTAGACCAGGGACCCTGATTCTCCACACGAGAGGCAGCACTGAGCACTGATGACTCTGATTCTCAGCGTGCATGGCTCCCACCGACCCACAGCAGCCACACGCCTTGGTGTCAGAGCTCTCCAGAGACACTCGGGTGGTGCGACGCTCCCACTGCACACGGCTCAGGCCCCCTCAACTTGCCTTTTGGACCTTCTAGTGATAGTTAGAATGGGGAGACAACAAAACAATCCCCAGAGGAAATTAAAAAAGGAATCGCCAAGAAAGGAAATAAGTGAAACAGAGGCATGCAGTATGACAGAAAGAATTCAGAATAATGATCATACAGTTCATAAACCATATGGATGAGAAAATCAACAACCTGTGCAAAAAATCAGGAAGAAATCAAAAATGATATAGCTACAATCAAAAACGCTATGGAAGGTTTCAACAGTAGACTAGAAGAAGCAAAGGACCGAATTACTGAGTTAGAAGATAAGATATAGAAACAAGCCCATCTGAATAGCAACTGGAGAAAAAAAATTAAAAAGCAGGAGGAGAGCCTAAGGGAGCTTTGGGACAACACGAAACAAGGTAACATACTAGTATGTATAATAGGGGTACCAGAAGGAGAAGAAGAGCAGTAAGGATTAGAGCAGCGGTTCTCAACCTGGGGGTCTCGACCCCTTTGGGAGTCGAATGACCCTTTCACAGGGGTCACCTAAATACATCCTGCATATCAGATATTTACATTACGATTCATAACAGTAGCAAAATTACAGTTATGAAGTAGCAACAAAAGTAATTTTATGGTTGGGGGTCACCACAACATGAGGAACTGTATTAAAGGGTCGTGGCATTAGGAAGGTTGAGAACCACTGGATTAGAGAATCTATTTGAAGAAATAATGACAGAAAACTTCCCTGTTATGGGAAAGAAAAAAGTCACTCAAGTACAGAGTCCAAAGCAAGATGAATCCCAAAAGACCCACACCAAGAAACATCATAATTACAATGGGAAATGTTCACGACAAAGAATCTGAAAGGCTGCAAGAGAGAGATGGAGAGTTACCTACAAAGGATCCCCCATCAGATTATCTAATGATTTCTCAACAGAAACATACCAAGCTAGAAGGGAAAAGGAATGAAGTATACAAAATGAAGCAAAGCAAATGACTGAATCCAAGAATACTCTATCTAACAAGACTATCAATCAAAATTGAAGGGGAAATCAGGAGCTTCTCAGACAAAAAAATTGCTAACAGAGTTTATCACTACCAAACCAGCAATGCAAGAAATGCTAAAGGGAATGCTGTAAAAAGAAGAAATAGAAAGGGAGGAAGGAACACAGGCATAAAGTACAGAAATGGCTACAAGCAAGTACATGTCAATAATAACATTAAACATAAATAGACTAAATGCTCCAATCTAAAGACATCAAGTGACTGATGGATAAGAAAACATGACCCATGTATATGCTGTCTACAGAAGACCCACCTCAGAGCAAGGGCCTCACACAGACTGAAAGTGAAAGGATGGAAAAATATTTGTCAGGCAAATGGAAATGAAAGAAAAGCTGGGGTAGCAATACTTATATCTAACAAAATAGACCTCAAAGTGGAGACCATAACAAGAGACAAGGAAGGACACTTCATAATTCTAAAGGGATCAGTACAACAAGAGAATATAACTCTGGTAAACATATATGGACCCAATGCCAGAGCACCCAAATACATAAAAAAAACTTCTGGAAGATATCAGAGGAGAGATTGACAGCAATACTATCATAGTAGGAAACTTTAATACCCCATTAACATCACTGGATAAGTCCTCTAGACAAAAAATTAGGAAAGAAACAGCAATCCTAAGCTACTCACTAGATCAGATGGACTTAATGACATCTTTAGATGTCAAATATTAATTGGAGCATAATGGCTTGGGTTGATTTCTGGGTTCTCTGTTCTTTTCCACTGGTCTATAGGTCTGTTCTTGTGCCAATATCAGGCAGTTTTGAGAACAGTGGCTTTGTAGTATAGTTTGATATCTGGTATTATGATCCCTCCAACATTGTTCTTTTTTCTCAAGATTGCTGCAGCTATTTGGGGTCTTTTTTTATTCCAGATGAATTTTTGGAGAGTTCGTTCTATGTCTTTGAAGTATGCCGTTGGCGTTTTAATGGGGATTGCATTGAATTTATAGATTGCTTTGGGTAATATGGACATTTTAATGATGTTGATTCTACCAGTTCATGAACATGGTATATTCTTCCATTTGTTTATGTCTTCCTCTCTCTCCTTTTTTCAACGTCCTGTAGTTTTCTGGGTAAAGATCTTTTACTTCCTTAGTTAAGTTTATTCCTAGGTATCTTAATATTTTTTGTTGCAATGGTAAATTGGGTTTTTTTTTAGTTTTTCTTTCTGTGAATTCATTATTGGTGTATAAAAAAGCCATAGATTTCTGGGTGTTGAGTTTGTATTCTGCTACAATGCCAAATTCATTTATTAATTCTAGTAGTTTTTTTATGGAGTTTTTGAGGTTTTCTATGTACAATATCATGTCATCTGCAAATAATGACAGTTTTACTTCTTCTTTTCC